TGACTAATGACTTTGACTTACCTCTGAGTTTAGAGGTCTCTTTTTCTGGGAATGGTGATAAGAGGACATTTGCTTCTTTATTGCACTTCGTCTTGCCTCTGCCTCTAATTTACTCTCTGGCCTGGGGTGGTCATGGACACCTTTAGCCTATTTAGGATTAACAAAGAATTAGATGTGAACGGGAAGGGGGTGAGACAAGACAAAGTGCAGTAAGTAATTTAAGAGATAGCCACAGCATTGTCTGTGGTTTGGCACAAGAGAAGAGGAAGGGAAAACTAAACAACAAGGAGGGATTCATTGTAAAAATAAATAAATAAAATGAATCACGATTTGGAGGTAGAAAGAAGGAAAAAGTGAGAGAGAAGTCAATGAGGACTGCAGAGCTGATGGAGGAGCAGACATATTACCTATGTTTGAGACATTCAGTAGTAGTTAATTAGAAACAAGGGGAAAAAGATATACATTTAGTTTCATTGTTTTTCTGCAGTCCAGTATCTCAGTTCTGCTTTATAAATGTATATATATAAAAATTGTATACATAGGCTTTAAAGAGGTTTCATGCCACAAGAAGACAAATATTCTCTTAAAACAATACACCTTCTTGAATAGGACTGAAAATTATATCCTGGAAAACCATCCAGAGATGCTCTGCTATTGAAACACCTGTGGATATGCAGATCTATGTAACCAAAACTATCCTGGTATCTGATGAAGTAATATATTCTACATGTCCTTACCCATTATGTTTGTCTAAATGCACCAACATATAGTCCCTAATACAAAGTAGGAAGCGTAAAATTGGTTTTAAAAACACCGTCCTTTCCTCAACCAGAAATTAAATTCTAAGCACGGATTTATCAACTATTTTGATGGTAAAAGTCATCTGGTTTTGCATGTCTGTAACAGAACATCTGAGTAAGAATAATACAGAATATGGCCAATTTTCTTCCATTTACTGACCGGAGAACAGAGTTCACTGTCTGTGGGTTAGGGAAAAAATTCATCTGGCAGAAAATGTAATCTCACGGAACAGAAACTTTATGTTACATTTTTGTTCTAATGTTGCAATAAAAAGACCAAATCAATAAGAAATTTCAGATTTTAGCTTTCTAAATTTCCATTTTTTCCTGGCAAGATTTTAAATCCTCAAAATTGAAAGGCTAGTTTCATGTGAAGTAGAATTTTCATGTATCAACTCCTGCAATTTAAGCAAGATTTTTTTTTTCTATTTATTTAACAGGAAATAAGTATTAGGTCCTTGGAAAAATTCAGTTGTCAGATGTGCCAGGGTGCAAGACAACCTTCTTGTTTGTATTTGTGCTCTGTAAACAGGAGAATTTAAGACATTAATTGCGATGTTATAGTGAAAATTGAATATTGTCAACTCTCAAGTACTGTTTTTAAAAGAACAGCCAAGTGTTGTTGTTTCATTTGTTTTTGCCATACTTGTACTAAACAGAAATTCTGTCATGGACCAGAACTCCACTGTGCTCACCATGTTCAGTGTTACACACAAAAAAATATAATGTGGGGGTAGGAAGAAATCTCTCTCCAGATATTATTTTATATACAGACATAATTTATATATATGTGTACAAATAAATATGCCTGATTTTTACCTGGAAAAATATTGCTTTGCCATCAAGCCTCCAGAAGTTTGTGACCGGATAGCCACTGTGTCCTCGGCAAGGAATCAACTCAAGGGCTGAATTGCAGTTTGGGCAGGCTTTCTCTGTGAATAAAGACAAAGAAACTACTGAAGAGATTGATTGAAGGCAAGGATGCTTCCTGAGAGTAAAGAGAGCTCAAGAGCAGTATGATCAGACTTCACTGAAATTCAAATTAAAATATATTGTTCAAGGAAACACAACATAGACTACCAAGCATACTTGATATAAATGCTAATGATGTAAAGGGTTTCAGATCCATTTCCCCTTAAGTATTTACAAATAGACATTGATGAAATTTGTAAATAAATCACATTCTTTATGGCTTAGTCTGCCTGCAAGTAAGAGTGACTCCAGTTTAGAAGTCAAGCCCAGATGAAAGAAACATGACCCTTTGGGCATCCCAGCTTTCTTTGGGTATCTCTCACTTTGTTGCTTCTGCCGAGCCTTGTCACATATGGCAGGGCGAAGCTGCAGCCTGGCTCCGCCGGGCAGAGCACAGCTCCTGGCACACACCACCACTCCCAGGCAGGACTTCTTGAGGATCTGGCAGTTGTGGTTGTTGGTGTTGCGCATGGCCCAGCCACTGAGGTGCCTCTGCGCGTTCTTCTCCTCACTGGAGTAGATGAGCCGCACGTAGCCATCGGGCCATTCCTGGAAGGCATCAAAGTGCTTGGGCTCCTGCAGCAGCACAAGTGGGGTAGAGGGGCAAGGCAACAAGGAGAAGAGCAAGATAATATTATCAGTATATCACAACCTGATATTTTCTCCCTGTTACAAAACACACAACAGGAAAAAAAGTTTTTTCCATGACCATCCAAGCAGCAGAAAAAGAATTATTGAAAGAATAACTTATTCAGAAATGCTCTAGAAGGGAAAAGGCAGTCTGAGCTTCCGTGTTTCAAGAGTCAGGATCCTTTCCTCCTTCGCACCATGATCCAGAATAACATGGTCTGTTGTCACAGGTGCCTCTTTACAGTAGGGTTACCCAGCTGTAAAACATCAGCCTGGTTACCAAAACTTACTAACTGGTCTGCCACCAGTGTGCCCAGACAGGATGGGCACCTTGATCGTGACTGCTGTTAAGTTCTCCTTGTTGTGGGACCATGCACCTACAGGCAAGAAACTAGAAGTTTTAGCTATGGAATGGTTTCTTAGGTTGTATCTGAGTTGAATAAGACTTTTGCTAAGAAACAGAAATAAAAAAAATTGCCCTTGCAAATACAGTTCCAATATATACATAGTGGCTCAAAAAAAGAACATTTCAGTTTTGGATTTCACTGGCTTTCTGGAGCTGCTTACTAAAATGTAATTACTAGAACAATGAAAGAACAACTAAGATTTTAAACTGTAAATATTTACAGTGCAAGTAAAGAGTTCCTGCAATGCTTATTTAACATAGGTACATACCACATGTGAGCAATGCCAGGGAAAGCAATAAACTACCAGCATTTACAGTGTTAAGACATTCTGTAATAGCGTGGACTATTAAATTAAATAAACTTGAAGCAGAAAAAAGTTGTAAGTTAACACATTTTAAAGCTCACAAGTAGACAGAAGTTGAAGTGCTTGTTGGCATTAAAGTATCACATCAACAAATGAAGGAAATAGTTAGATAAGTTGGATTAGAGTAGTAAAAACCAGTTAATTCAAGCTTCTAGTCCACATTTCTTGAACAAGAAGGAAGGAGAAGGAAACTGGCCAAACTGAGCCATAGATTATATTAGGTTTTCATACATAGCTGGCCAAAGCTGTGTATCAAGTCCGTATTTTTATTACAAGTCATTTCATAAGGACTGGGAAAAAAAAGTGAAAAGGTGCAGGAAAAATAAAGCAGACATAAAACGAAGCTTTTCTCAGACGGAAGGTTGCTCCCGTTTCCCTAGTAGCCCAGCTCCTCCTCTGTCACTCTCCCACCCACCCGTTACCTGCGGCAATTTGGGGTCGTTGATGTCCCAGGTCAGCTTCATGGCGAGAAGCGGCAATGGGGGATGACTCCTGCTTTTTTATGCTGTCGGGGCGTCGCCCAGTTGGAGAGGAGTTCTCAGCCGGCCCCGCAGGCGGAGCAGCAGCACAACCGCGGCACCTGGGCGGGCAGGGGCTGCGCTCCCCCTCTGCCACACAGGCGGGTTTCGCTACCCTTACCTGGAGGTGTGTGACGGGGGATAGCCGTGGGGGTTTGGCAAGAATACACCCCCCAGCACGGGGGGCCGTGACCTCGGCAAATTCGAGCAGAGTCTGGAAGTCTAACCCGACGGTGGCGGGGCTCTGCCGCTCGTTCCCGCAGGTGCTGGGATGGGAGAGGTTTTGGGGAGATGGGGACCCGTCTCTGCCCGGCCGGGACGCCCCTGATGTTGGATTTCGAGCGCAGCTTGGAGCTGCCTGCAGCTTGAAAAGCCTCCGAGAGGAAGGCAAAGGCGCTGAATAACCTGCTCTTTAGATGTAGATGTAAACGAATTCAACATTATTTGGGAGGTTTCCCCTTCGCGCCGTGCTCTATAACACCTAGTTTAAAATGCAAATTTAGTGCCGGTGCTATCAGCACATTTTAACTTATTAAAAATTTGTAAGCTTCTTGTTACCTTTTCTTTTTGGAAGAAATAGCCGATGGGTTGTGGTGTTTGTGTTTGTTTTGTTGGTTTTGCGGTTTTTTTGGGAGGTTTTTTTTTGGTTTGGTTTTTTTTGTATGTTTGTTTATTTTGGTTTGGGTTTTTTCTAGGGGGACAGGGGTTTCAGGGGGGGTGGAGGGAGGTTGATTTTTGGTCTGAGAAACAGAAAGAAAAAGACGCACAATAGCATAGAGACCAAGCCGTTGAACGCCAAGCGCTGCTATCATCCTTTAAACGATCTCACCTGTTCGGAATGATTTTCTCATTCACTTCCATCGCCTCTGGTCCAAAATTTACTGGCCTTTACCCTTAACCGTGCACAATAAACCCCAGCCGGTAGGAGCAGGTGCCGGCTGTGGCACCCCTCGGCAGAGAGCAGCCCCTCTGAGGTTCCTCGCTCCGCTTTTGCACCCTTCGGATCGAGCGGGGGCGTCTGTCAGTGCTGCAAAGCCGATCGCCGGGTGCAGGAGACCCATCCCAGATTCCGCACACCTGCGGCTTTTTAGTGCGAGTGCGAGAGTGGCTTTTTCCCCCCCCTTTCCCCACGCCCCCCCCCCCCAGTGCTGGGGTCTGGCAGCGAAAGAAGAGCTCTCAAAGCCGCAGGAAACGCTGGCGAGGCTCTCTCTTCACCCCAAACGCGGGTTTATCCAACAGCAGCCGGTTACGGTCGTGCGAGGGCTGTGGGGAGGGTGCAAAGCAGTCTCTGCACCTTCTCCTCTGCGCCATGGCCCAGGTAAGCGCCGCTCCTGGCACAGGAGAACCGGGAGAGGGCTGCGGGGGAGCGGGCATGGAGGGACGGACACATCTTTGTGTCCCCGGGGCTCCCCTGCGGCTTTCAGAAACCTTCAGTTTGGACGCCTGGGGTGGTTTTCCAACTTGGAAAATAAGTAAGGAAAATCTGCCTTTCGGGAGAGATCGGTTGAGTAAGTGGACTTCAGCTTTTGGACAGAATAAGTGTTTGGTTTTGGGGTGTTTTTGGAGGAGAGGATTATTTTCATGTATTTTTCTCTTCTTTTTAAAGGAAGAAAAAAGTGAAGAACGGAATAGAGATGTGAGTGGCAATATGGCAGGCAGAGCAGAAGACTATGTAAGGATCCTTTAAGTGTATCCTTAGCTTTATCTTACAAATAGTTATTTATGTATGTTTAAAGATGCATTTCTTAAATGGATATGGCATGACCTAGAATTTTTATTAATTGAATATGGGAAGTGCAGCAGACTACTTAGTCTTTTCCCTAGTAAGTGGGAAGAAATTATTGTAAGAGTTTTGAGACATGTAAGAATTACAAACTGGGCATACCAAAGGAATGTCTTATTCAGTATGTCTTAAGATTACTTGGTTTCAAGGGTTCTGTCTCTTTTGGAGATTAAGACTGATGTTTCACCTTCAGATGTAACAATAAAATAAAAGTAGAGAAACAAATAAAGTTAAACAAGTAAACAAAAAGCCTGCAACTTTTAAAATAGCATTACAAGTATTTTCTCATAACTAGTGCTGCTACAATCTTAATACCCATTTACTTTACTCACTAGTTGTTTCCTTCCCCTCTTTCTGCAGCTCGAATCACTTCTCACTGATGCCTTTAAGGGGAAAGGATTTGAAAAAATAAGTGAACTGCTTCAAGAGAGAGAAGTAGAGCCTCCCCAGAAATACAGTGAATCTCTTTTTAGCCAGCTAGACAAAGCACTGAGAAAGGCGAGTATCATAAATAATCGTAACTATCCTAATACCCAAGGGTATCAGACTAATGATGCACAGCACTCTGTGTTTCTGTAGGAGCTGGACAAGAATGAATTCCAGAATGTTTCACTGCTGCTGAAATGTATTCAGGTCTACTTTAAAAGTGATTTCCAAGAAGGGAAGAGTTTGTTTATTGAGCAAGGACTGGTAGCGAAGATGAGTATAATATTATATGCAAGTTACTAATGTGATTTAAAGTTGCTTGCATCAGAAAAAGAACTCCAAGGAAATGAAAATTGGAGAATGGCTTGTTGGCCCTGCAGAAACATATATTTTTAAAATACATTGCATGAGCTAAATGAGGAAAAAAAATACTTACTGTCTTTCATTGCTTTTGGTGCAGCAGCCAATATTATGGTTTCACTTATTACCTGACTTAGTGGATTGTGGGTTTGGGGGTTTTTTTAAGCTGATAGTGGAAGGAGAGGTAGAGTTTTGATGAGTCCCACTTGTGAAATGATGTAAAATTTCTAAATGTTCCAGCAAAATACAGTGTTAGTTATAGAACTGATGAGCAGTTTGTGCTTTTATAATTTTAAGACCTGACATAATCTTTATGAAGATCCTTTTTAGATATGTAGCAAACCAGATGCATTTAATCTGCAATTGCATTTTGTCTTTTGTCAGAATGGCACAGTGCTGATTTCAGCTGGTAATACTTGTAGTAGCAGAAATGCACTTGTGCTGAAGATGAGTAATACTTGGATCTAGCATAGCTAGCAGGGAACAGTTAACACGTGCTCTCCATTACCAGAGTTCTACCAGGGAGTCCTCAGTTCAAAATATTGTAATCCTGCCTTGTAATTATGCTTTTCAGGGATACAGTTGCTCAAAATTCCTGTATGGAAATATATTAATGAAGTTTCCCTGATCTGAGCTCTGTACCTCCAGTGAAGCATAGATTTCTGTTTCACCACATGTGTGATGCTATGCAATATATTTAAAACCATGAAGTATTAAAATATTTACCTTGAAAAAGCTTGAAAAAATTTTAAAACATTATTTTGCTGTAAATTGATGTTCTGTAGAAATTTCTATAGGAGTTAGTAGCATGCATTGTGTCTAAACAACAAGAGTGTGTGCCTTGGATGACAAAGGAGGATAAAAGGAGGGTTGGGGAGGGAAGAGGGGAATGTCACTTTTTATGTCCTCCTAGCAAAATTCGAGCTCCTTAACACCATGTAGCTTTTGACACAGTATGTAACTCAAGTTTTAAGAGTAAAAAACTGTCTGTAAAATTTCCTGCAGACATATATAGTTTAAGGATTATTAACTCCTCTTCCCAGATTTTAACTGATTCTTTTAACTTTTACCTGGTATCTTGGTTTGAAAGAGCAAGAGCATCTGTGATCCTCATCGACCCAAATGAGAATAAATTTTTTGAAGACTTCTTTGACACTGCATTGGTATGTATGTGCATTAAGGGGACAGAAGGGTTGCCTACATTGGATAGGAAAGCCATTGTTCACAAACAATTTCTAGTTAAAAAATGAATAGTTGCATGGACCTGGGGATGAGCCTGGGATGCAGTCCAGGTGATGTCGGTGGGGGGTGCCCAGGAGTGTGCTCTGAGCTGGCATCAGGCTGAGATTCGACACAACCTGGGAGAAGCTGCTAAAGGGCTGCAGTGTTTTCTGATTTTCTAACATGAAGCCAAGTGTTTGTTTTTGCAGAAAAATTTTCAAGAAGTTCTGATGCATTTTGTAAATAAAGGCTTTTGTGCTGAAGCTCTCTTTAAAAACCACAAGTTAGTAATACTAAGCTGCACTTTACATGCAAATGTGTTTTACCCAAGCTGTTCCTCCAAGTCTTGTTGTCTGTAGCTTACTGGAACTGTGTCACTTTTGTGATGCAGTTTGTGCATCAGAATTCATATCAATACTTATGACTCTTTTTAGGAGTTCTGATAAAAGATATTTAAGCTGAATCAAAGTTCCTTCTTTCTCTGCTAACCACACCGACATTGTATGACATACCTGATTTTTTTTTTTTATTTTCCAAAATTTGATCTATTTGTCTTCCCAGTACATTTCTTCCACGTGCTTTCATTGTGGAGAATGAAGTGTTTTGTTTTGTGGGGATTTGGGGTTGTTTGTTTGTTTGTTGTTCAGAGATTTTTTAACTTTTATTTTTATTTTTCCTCAAGGGACTTCAACACCTTCAGATATACATTGTGCGATCTAGTACCGTAGTGTGGAAGCATAAAATGTGCTTGTACATAAGCCCATAGATGTAATAAGGGAACAATGCCACAGTGTGGGTTTTCCAGGGAACCTGTGGGCACTGCACTCTTTAAGTGCTGCTGAAATTCCTGGGGAAAGTGGGTGCTTTGCTATCTTTACCCTCCCTGCATAATGCCAACCTGTATGATTAGGGTCATCATATGTGACATACCTGTATCAGGTGGCCCTGCTTTTCCTGATGTGGGTACACTAGTGTTTTATGTTATTTAGCCCCTGAAAGTTGTGGTAGTGGGGGCATAAACACCTTGGCACTTTGAGTACTGCTGTTCTTGGGTGATGGTGCGTTAATGAAGGCTTCCTTTGCTGTTTCCATCAGGTGATTTGCAAATGCAGTAATGAAGGTCAGTATTTTTTTCCTTCCATGCCTTGATATCCTGTATCTTAGTCTCAGGAGCATGTTTCTTAATTCTGCTTGAACTCTGTCCCCTTTCTCTTCTCCCTTCCACTTCCTACCTCTCTGCAATATTTTTTTCTTTTAATCCTCCTTCTGATTTCTCTTCAGTTAATTTTCATTAACATTCACATCAGCGCACAAAACCTTTTTCCATTTCTCTTTGCTTCCTTGTTTTGTACAAGTCAAAAAAAAATCTATCTGTGGTATCTTGCTTAAATGCTCAGCATCAAATAATTCACTTGATCAGAGTAAGTGGTGCTTCTGAAAGGCGTTCAGGCTAGATGATCTATTCTCGCCACATCTGTTTGTACTGGCTTGAGAAGTTCTTTCCTTGCTGAAGGCAACCACCTCCACAGAAAACCATGGTAACTCTTTCAGCTTTCTGAACTAGGCAGAGGGATGTCTGCCTGTCTGTCATTCATTTCAGCAGCAAAATTTTGTCTGTGGCTGCAGCTGGCTTTCCATTAGAACAGGGGAGCAGGTGCTTTCAGAAAGTATCCGTATGCCCAAACATCCAGTCTCACAAGTCATATAAAAATAAAGCATTACACTGTGGACCAGGTAATGTGTGCTTATTTGTCCTTGTAGCTTATTTTAGTGGGAGCAGAGTACTCATGAGCATCTTCTGGTTAGTACTTTACTGGTTTACTCTGTTGACTTTGACAACAATTCTAATTTTCTCTTGTGGTTAGGCCTCTTAAAATAATTACCCAGGTCAGCAGTTAATGTCTCTGCAGTTTTATTTTTTTTTTTTTTGCATAGAAGTTACCAGTTCCCTTTCCATCTAGGGTTAGATGGTTAGAAGCTTTGTTTTAAAATGAACTTACAAGTGGGATATTTTTACTCCAATACAGCAAACTGTAGTTGCTTCAGCTGTCTTTTATATGGAGACCAGCCCATTTCTAGCTGTAACCTTTCAAAATACATTTCCAGGGAAGAAAGATCTGCTGAATTTATTTCTACCTGAACTAGGGCATCTAGTGACAGAAGCAAATCTTTGCTGCACTCTACATCTGGAGGTAAGATTCCTGCTAGGAGGAGAAAATTAGATACATTTGTGCACAAGTGTGTGTAATTAGAAAATGTGGAAAAAATGAATAATATTGAATTATTTCCCTTCATTTTCTGCCCCTTCTTTTGTGGGGGGAAAGGCTTTGAGGACCCTTAACTCTATACTCGACAATGTCACACGGGAAGAGAGAAAGCAATTCCCTCTGTCTGAGGAAATGTGCTCGCTCACGTAAGTGATTTTCTTCCTAGCTCCTATAGCTAAATGCCATCTTCCCTCCAATAGGAGTTAGTTATTTTCACTTTTAACTTGTGGTATTATTTTGTTTCAGGAAAGACCTTGCCAAAACTATTCTGGAGGTTGGTGGTAAGAAATATTTAGTGGTTATTCTTATTAATTTCTCCTGATTTACTTATCTGTTTATTTATTGTAGCTGAATTG